AAATACCACATGTCCTCACTTATAAGTGAGAGCTAAAAAGGAAAGAAAGAAAGGGAGGAGGAAGGAAGGAAGGAAGAAACAATCACAATCATTTGCTAAACTTTTAAAGGAGCAAATGGAACTGAAGCCACCAGAGGTGGGAAAGGGGAGGGGAAGTGGGGCTAATGAGAAATTGGTAGAGTGCTACAAAAAATGAAAAAAAAAAACAAAACAAACAAAAAAACTATAGCCCTAGGCAATAAGTCAGTAGCTGGTTTTTGTTTGTTTTGCTTTTGTTTTTAGCTTTCCTTCCTGAGTTGGGGAGCCCCTCTCCACTACCTGAGTTGGGGAGCCCCTCTCCACTACCAGCTACCAAAAGTAAGCTTGGTGCTGGTCCTTCGTGTCTGTCCTAGAGCACTTCTGGACCCTTTTTACCTCACAGAGCTGAAATCTTACAATCACTGACTTCTCCCAGACCTGAAACCCAGCACCATTCTGCATTTCTGTTCTTTTTCTTGTTCATGAAGATATTTTTACATTTGAGATTGTCAGTGTCTTCTTTTCTCTCTCTTTTGATACTCGTCTGTCATTGCTGTCTGGTTGGAGTGGGGGTTGGGGAAGGGTACCTGAATATGATTCACTGCACCATGTTCCACATTCTTGAATGATCAATAATTTTATCATCTTCAAATATCGGTATTTTTTTTCCTTCCTTTTCAAACTTTGTAACTTTTATCTCATTTTACTATCTTGTTTCACCGTCTCCAGTGAAATATTTAATAGAAGCAGTGATTGCAGACAGTCCTGTTTGTTCTCAGTTCTAAGTGGAATATTTCTAATGCCTCACCAGTAAGTCTGATCCTTGCAATGGGCTTTGGTAGACATCCTTTCTTATGTGAAGGAGTGTTTAGAGTTGAATTTTATGAAGTGGTCTTTTTGTCTGGGTCTGTTGAGATGAGCATATTCTTGTTTAGTTTATTCATATGTGAATTACATTAATACATTTTCTAATGTTAAAACAGTCTTGTATTCCTTGGGTTCAACCCTGCTTGTCTATGATGTACTTTTGTTCTTGTTGTCCTCGATGGATTTAGATTTGCTGGTATTTTAACTAGGAATTTTGTGTCTATGTTTATAAGTGAAATTGGCCTCAGCCTTTCTTTCTCCTTCTGCCCTTGTCTAGTTTTGGTAGTTTGGTGGCTCTCGTAGAATGAGTTGGGATTCTGTCTCCCGTTTTCTATTCTGTGTAACCGTACGTGTAAGATCAGGATTGCAGGGTTGGTAGGACTCTTCTCTAAAACTGTCTGGTCTGTTCGAGTTTTTTGATGAATAGATTTAAAACTACTGTTTCAATTCCTTTACACTATAGTTTTACATGTGATTTTCTGTTTTCTCTTTCTTAACTAAGTTTTGTAAGTTGTAGTTTTCTAGGTGATTATCCATTTTCTAGAAAAATATCTGCATTTTCAACTTTCACATGGGTATGAACATGCCCTTTTATGGTTTAAAAAAACTACTGAGTCTATATTTATACCCTCTTTTTATCCCTGATGCTGTTTATTGTGACTTCCTTTTTTTTCTTACTTCGTCTTATCAAAAGTACATCTAGTTTATTATTCTTTTCAAAAAACTAGCTTTTGGGTGGGGGGTAGGGGGGAGGGTGGCAGGCACTATTCTAGGCAGTAGAGTGAACAAAACGGATAAAATTCCCTGCCTTGTTTGAAAATATATTCTAGTGTGGAGACACAGTCAATCGGAAGTAATTGTAATAAATAAGTAAATTCCACAGTAGATTAGAAGGTGCTAATTGCTATACGAGTAAGTAGCTCCTGGTAAGGAAGACTGAGAGAAGTGGGGTGAGCAGCATAGATAAGCAGGTTATAATTTAAATAGGGTGGTTGGAGTAGAGAAGATGGCATCTGACAAGCAAAGACCTGAGGGAGGGGAGGGAATTAACTATGGGAATCTAAGGGAAATGCACACCAGGAAGAAGGAACAGCCAGTGCACAGACCCTGAGGCAGGACGGAACCTGCTAGAATGAGGAAGAGCAAGGATACCTGGCTGGAAGGGAGTGAGCAGCATCAGGACACAGCAAAGCCCTCCCGAGGTAGATCACTTAGGGCCATGTGGTCAGTCCATTGTTAGAACTTCCCGATTTTATTCTGAGTCAAAAATGCCTTGCAAGCTTTTGCACAGATGGTGACATGACTGGACCTACTTTTGAAAGGATAATCTTGGCTACTGTGCTGCAAACAGACTGAAGGCCTGAGAGCCAAGGCAGGAAAAGTAGCGACAGGCTATGGCAATAATTTTGAGAGATGATGGTGGCTCGGACCAAGGTGGTAAACAGCTAGGTGGTGAGAATGGTTGAACTCTGAATATTTTATTCTGATGGTAGAGCCGACAGGATTTACTTACCATTTGTATGTGGAAAGTGAGAGAAAGGGAAGAGTCAAAAATGTCTCCAGGAAGTCTGGCCTGAGAAACTTCAGTGACTGAGTTGCTAGCAATGTCGCTCACATATCCTTGTTTTCTATTTCTTTAATTTCGACTGTTACCTTTATATTTCTTTCCTTGTATTTTATTTGGAGTTGCTGTGTTGTTCTTTTCTGAATTAAAAGATTAACTTACTTTATCTAAATCTTTTCCTTCTTTCCCTCTAATATTTGCATTTAAGATTATACATTTGCCCCTGTTAAAAGATAAACTTAGGCACATTAGAATTTTGAACAGTTTGAGCAAACAGTGATCGTCAATCAGGCAGCTCCAGACTGCCGGTGGTTCAGGGCTCCACCAAAGGGATGAGAGGGGGAAACTTTTATAAGATGCACGCGGAGCAAGGAAAAGAAAATATCTGATTGGTTAAAGTGGAGCCGTATTCTTAAAGTCCCTAGTTAGAAGTTAGTTGGCAGCTTGTGGTTGGATTTTGGTTTGCTTACGTAGGGTGCTAGAGCTGTCTCAGTCTAATAGCCTCCTGATTAATTATTTCAATACCCCTAAGTGCTGTTTTAGCCACTTTCTGCAAGTTTTGATATGTATTGGTTTTATTGTCATTTAGGTTTTACTATTCCTTAATTTCCATTGGGTTATTCTTTTAACCCATACATTGCTTAAAGGGTGTTTTTACATCTCCAGATGTATTGCAAAATAACCTTTGTTATTGACTTCTAATTTTATTGAGATAATATTGTCTGGATGGTATTGATTGTTTGGTGATTATTGGGGCTTGCTCTGTGGCATATTATGCTCATCTCTTAATTCTCTGATTGATGGATGCAGGCTTCCCTACATGACCAAAAGAGCAGATTTATTAATTTATATAGTTTAAATGTCATGCTCAAGCAGAGTCTTTTCATCCTTTCTTTAAAGAGCCAAGGCTGGGAAAGGCAGGTGAAGCAGCAGAGTCAGGCATCTTTCTCTCTCATGTACTGTAGAAGCCTGAGTTGCAGGCTGAGGAGCATGGGGAGCTGCACTCTCAGAGGCGGCTTGATCCCAGCAGCATCCAAGACCTGGCTGCTCAGAAGAGCTACGCAAGGGGGCTGGAGACGATGTCTGGAGCTCAAAAGAGGTGATGGAGAAACCTGTGGTCCACTCAGTGATGCTCCAGAAGCCTCGCTGCATGACATATTCTCTAAGGGCACAGTTCCCACCATCCACTGTAACACCACACCCCAGTGCACCCCAAATACACACCCTTATACATGGGCTCCCCACTTACCTCTGATGGCAGACATCTGCTCCAGAAACCTAAAACTGCCATCTTCTCTGCGAAGGGGCCTGCACGAAGTCTGCAGTCTGGAGCTCTCCTCTGAAGCACTGATTTTGTGAATCACTTTGTTCTATGCAGGCAGGTAGCTGCCCACAGTGCCACCACTGGGCCACATGCTGCAGGTTAGTGTGCATCCTGCTGCTCTGACCAGCCTCTCCCTGCAGGATGTCGGGGAGTCGGGTGCTGCACCTCTTCATCACAGAAGTGGACATGGGGGTGGGAACCCACGTATCAGAGATGGGCCAGATTTTTAGTTCCTTGGGAAACAGGAGTTTAATGCAGCATTTGTCTGCTCAGTATTTTAAAAGGTGCTTTGAAGCAGAAAATGGCCAGAAAATACCCAGTTTAAAAGCATCTGTTGTAAGGTGCTGTAGAGTAGGTGCAGGTTATTGAGACTGCTCTCCACTGTCAGGCTACGCAGCCATGGGCTGCACACTGGAAGGCTCTGGACTACTCATGAGGACAAGAAGTCATTAGGTTGGAATAGGGGTTTTGAAATCCTCAGGGGAAGGGTGCTCAGACCAGGGTGAGCCTAGTCCCCAGGACAACTACTCATCTGGCTGCTCAGGGTTCTTTTTAGAAACCTCTATGAGTTTGCAAGAGCTGCCATAACAAAGTGCCACAGACTGAGCAGCTTGAACAATGGGATTTATTGTCCCACAGTTCTGGAGGCTGGCAGTCTGAGATCAGCAGTGCTGGTCAGTTCTGAGGGTCATGAGGGAAGGGTTTGCTCCAGGCCTCTCTCCTTGGCGTGTGGACAGCCATCTACTCCCTGTGTCTTCACATCGTCTTTCCTCTATCTCTGTCCAAATTTCTCCTCATAAAGACACCAGTCATACTGGATTAAGGTCTACTCTGGTGGCCTCATGTTAACTTAGTTACCTTTGTAAAGAGCCTATCAACAAATATGATCATATTCTAAGGTATTAGGGGTATTTCAATGTATGTATTTTTTGGGCAGGGGACTCAATTCAGTCCACAGCAATAGCCATTTCACCATGGCCTTTAACCTTCTCTAGTTAACAATAATCATATTCTTTGGTATTTTATCCTTAGGCATGAAAAATAGTTACAGATTTTGGTTACAGAAATGACAAAGCCTTTTAATAAATACGTGAGTGACTGTAGCACTAGCTGATTTATAATAAACCCCATGCCCGTAAGCCCCTGTTTCTTCCTCTCCAGAGCAACTTTCTTCCTTCTAAGAACAGATGACCTCACCTGGATATTTCTTGTTTTGTTTTCTTCCAGAGGATATACCTCCTACCCTGCAGCCTAAATGCACTGACTTCCAGAATGCCAACCTCCTCCGAGGCACCAATCTCAAAGTCCAGTTTCTCCTCTTTGCCCCTTCAGATCCTAGCTGTGGGCAGCTCGTGGAAGAAAGCAGTGACATTCAAAACTCTGGGTTCAATGCCACTCTGGGAACCAAACTAATCATCCACGGATTCAGGTGGGAGCTAACCAACCATAGGATCTCCTCAGCTAAGAACTATAAAGTGACCATGATGCCATAGGAAGGTAGTGGCGTGTAGGGGAGGAATGGATTTACTGGCCATGCCCGTTCCACCGCTCATGTCCTGCTGCCTTTGAAGGTGTCTGACGTCAACTATTGCACACACATCATGCTGTTCCTTCTTGTTGGTCATACACGTCACCCCTCCACTCGGTCTCATCTACACACTCACAAACAGTAAATGTGTGTGACCCCAGATAAGTCACTCCTCACTTGGAGCCTCGGTTACCATATCTAAATTAAAGGGGAGTTTGTAGGGAGGGTCTCAGTTGTCTTTTTCTCCCTGAAGTGTGGCTTGAGTGACATGATTCATCTCAAACAATGAGATCATAGGCTTTGTGTAATCACGGGGGAAACAGGGGTTTTTTCCTAGGTTTTTATGTCCTATTCTTCACTTCTTGCCTGGTTTCATGACCCAAGAAACTTCTATCGTGCTGAGAGGTTAGCATTTCTTAGGAGCTGGGCTCTTCTCTCGAGTAATTTCTCTGACACCCTACAGTTCAAATTTTTTATACTATACAGTCACCAAGACTCAGTTTAATCACCATCCTTCCTTTGAACATCTTTTCTCCAAAGCCCACCCACAAGGCCAGAAACAGAGAACAGTTTCTGGGAGGAAGGAAGGAGAGAGTGTGGTGAGAGAAGCACTACAGAACAAGTAGAGTTGGGGGCATGCAATGAAGAGGTAGACACACAGGCCCTGGACAGAGGATCACCGTGTCCTGATCTCTGGCTTCTCTCTGCCTCCTAGACCCCTGGGCTCCAGGGACCCAGCCACATACTTTCTCAGGCATCCCTCTTTACTCTTGTGCTGAAGTCTCTCCTCTAGCAAATGTCTCTTACCTCAGCCACGGTCCAAGACTGAGGGCGTACCACCAACCCAGCAATAGCTAATAGAGCCGGAGGGCATATCAGCTAGTCTGCTGCCAACTACCCCCAAACCGCATTCTATGGCACACACCCAGTCTGTGCTCCTCTGCTCACATGAGCATCCTCTGATTGTTCCTATAATACTGGGGACCATTGAAAAAACTTGTCGTAGTCCATTTGTGCTGCTATAACAAAAGACCTGATCCTGGGTAATTTATAAGGAACAGAAATTTATTTGGCTCACAGTCTAGAGGCTGAGAAGTCCAAGATCAAAGGTCTGCATCTCATTAGGGTCTTCTTGCTGTGTCATCCCATGGTGAAAGGCAGAAAGGCAAGAGAGTGTGCCCATGTGCAAAAGAGAGAGGGAGAGAGAGAGAGGAAGGAAAAGAGGGAGGGGAAGAGAGAGAAGGAAGGCAAGGAACCGGACTCCTCCTTTTACCAGGGACCCACTCCCGTGATAACAGCATTAGTCACCTCTTAAAGGTCCCACCTCTCAACACTGTTGGATAAGGGATTAAGTTTCCAACACACGGCTTTTGGGGGATACATTCAAACCACAGAAACTTTTTTTCTGATCCCAATCTGTTGAGAAACCTATCCTAAAACTTTCCTATCATTTTCCTTTTCCTAGAAAAGCCCCTTTACACTGTAAGTTCCAGAAGGATGGGGACTATATCTTATTTGTCTTTACTTCTTGCAAAGTATACCGCCAGGCCCATAGGTACTCCATAAATGTTTGTTGAATGAATAAATGGATAAATGAAAAATGAATGAATGAAAACATCCTCAAGGAAAGGGCCTATATTCTAGAACGAGAATTAAGATTGCAAATCTTAACTCTAATGTGCAAAGCTATCTTTTCTTTTACACAAATAACACAAATAGGGGCAGTACAGTGCATAAAGTCTATGTAGTTTATGTAGTTTATGCGTTGCGCAAAGGTGCCTGACTGAAGGCTGAGGGGGCTAAAACCCAATCTGAGTTCTGAACCCTGGCATGAGTTTGCATCTACCTGGAACAAAAGGCACCCTCTTATAATTTACACAAAGGCTCCATATGTGCTGATGGAAGGCCTGGCAACTTTGGAATTTTGTCCTCCCTATGCTCAAAGTGCTGTGAGATTTACTTCTCATATACCCCCTTCCCTAGTTTTGACTTCTTTTCCGGGTTTGGGATTAATAGAGGTTTTCAAGAAAATGGATATCAGCTTGGCAAGTAATTTTCTATCTTTTTTGGCTCCACGTCTAGGGCTTTAGGAACAAAGCCCTCCTGGATTGATAAATTCATTAGAGCCTTTCTGCGTGCAGCCGATGTTAACGTGATTGCTGTGGACTGGGTTTACGGGTCAACAGGTGTCTACTTCTCAGCCGTGGAAAATGTGGTTAAGCTGAGCCTCGAGATCTCCCGTTTCCTCAATAAACTCCTGGTAGGTACAGAAGAGTTTTGGGTGAGTTTTGGCTGCTTATGGGAGAGAGAGGGGTCAAAAAGAAAAAAGCACCACATGAGGAAGTTTAGGGCAGAAGCAAAACCATCCTGTGGCTTGTTGGTCTTTGGATCAAATCTTCACTTTGCCACTTACAGTGCTGGCCTTGGGTAGGTTATTGAACCTCTCTGAGCCTCCCGCTGCTGCTCTGTAAAATGCGCCTCTCTCTGCACGTTAGATAGTGGGTGCAGGCTGCCTGGCATGCGTAGTCCCTCAAGAGGGAAGGGCCGTAGTCGTTATACACTTTGGACACCAAAAGGAAAGTGAGGGGATTGTCAGGGTGGGGAAGCCCAGGAAGTGGGCAAGTGATTCACAGACGAGGGTTCTGCCCTTTTTACTGAAGCATGTGTGTCCTGCCAGGGCCCTCGGCTTCTGAAGGCTCGGGGAAAAGTGTGCCATTGAGAAGCCAGGGGCTGCCGTGCCCAAATGGAGCTCACTGTCAACGCCATTCTAGGTGCTGGGCGTGTCGGAGTCCTCAATCCACATCATTGGTGTTAGCCTCGGGGCCCACGTTGGGGGCATGGTGGGACATTTCTACAAAGGCCAGTTGGGACGAATCACAGGTAACATTCCCTTGTGCCCATCTTCCCATGGTTTAGAGATAGAGAGAGATTGCTCTTAAAATGCTTCTTCTGAGGTGAGCAAAGGAAGTGTTGAACCTTTGTTCTTATGATCAAGCCATCTAAAATTAATTTATTGTGGTCTTTTTGCAGAAAATGGCATTGTGTTATTATTGCATGATCTCTAATATCGGTGTAAGAGACCATGTAATTCTTTCTGAGCCTCAGTTTCTATATCTATAAAATGGGTTGTATCAGCCTATATCTCCTTGGCTCATTGTGGAAATCACTTTAAGATAGTTTTGTTAAATACCTGCAAAGTGTGGAGGACTTTATGCTTCAAGAGCCACCCTCAGTCCATAATAAGGGACTAGAGCTGTGTGGTAAATACCCCAGCTTCCTGGCTGTTCAGTAAGACAATTCTGAGTCATGTTCTACAAAATCCCTCAGAGGGGCCCCGGTGGGATAAGACCCAGTTGCCCCCAGTGCATCGGCGTTCTCCTTCATTCCATGATTTGTTTCCACTCCCTCACCATGCTTTCTGTCATCTCCTAAATAAGCCACTTGCACTTGAAATCTTGGTCACAGGGTCTGCTTTGTGGGGAGAAGGAGGGAAGGGATACCAGCTGACATGGGAATAGTATTATCTACGTCCCTGTGTTGTGAGAACTAGAGTATGTAAAATTGGTCCGCATGAGGCCTGGCACATAGTAACTGCTCAAAAAATTGTAGGCATCGCTGTTACCCCATGAAGGTTAATATTACTTAATTAACTCTTAGCAAATGGTTGGTGTCACCAAGCTCGTTTTAGAGCCAGAGAAGCTGGACCATTGAGAGGTTACCTCCAGAGAGACAACAGAGTGAGGTTTCTTAGGTAAGGTGGTCTTGAGCTAGTTCTCCCCACCCTAGGGTGCTTGTTGGAGGACTCTGTGGTCTGAACTGGAAGGGCTGGCAGGGTAGGTATGTGCCAAATGGTTGGTGTCACCAAATTCGTTTTAGAGCCAGAGAAGCTGGACCATTGAGAGGTTACCTCCAGAGAGACAACAGAGTGAGGTTTCTTAGGTAAAGTGGTCTTGAGCTAGTTCTCCCCACTCTAGGGTGCTTGTTGGAGGACTCTGTGGTCTGAACTGGAAGGGCTGGCAGGGTAGGTATGTGGTGGATCCATGAAGGTTCCTGCAGCGGAGAGGCAAGGGGCCCGATGTCAGTGTGTCCTTGCAGGCCTGGACCCCGCTGGACCCGAGTACACCAGAGCCAGCCTGGAGGAGCGCTTGGATGCTGGAGATGCCCTCTTTGTGGAAGCCATCCACACAGACACCGACAGTGAGCTGGGGTGCCCTGGCTGGGGTGAGGGAAGGAGCACAGAAGAGGCGCTGGGAAGCTGGCATCTAGCTGTGCAGCCCTGGGCAGAGACCCCTGCCCCTTTCTGAGCTTCTGTTGTTCAGCAACGAGGGTACCAACATGATTTTAAAAGTCTCTTCCAGCTCTGTCATTCTGTGCCATTGAGATGAATGGTTTTATTTTTAGCCACCAGTAGGCCGAAGGATTTCTACTCATGAACAAAAAATGTTTGGTTGGGAGTCTCTCTCTGATTCAACACCAGTCCTGTGCTGAGTAGTGCTGCGGAGGGCATCACTACCTGGCTGACTTACGGAAAAGTCACGCTGCTTCTTCAGGAAGGGATGCCTAGCCCTGGGGCATGGGGCATTCCACTCCTCAGGCACACAGGCCTCCCTGGGGGGATGGCCCCAGCCCTTAGCCTAGTAGAGAATGAGAATCCCCTTTCCAATAGTGGCAGGAAAGACCCCTGAACTATCAATCCACTATGACCAATATAAGCTCTTCCGACCAACTGGGAAAGTGGGTGGGCATTCCTCTTCATTTTTACTTAATTTCAAATGTCCACAGAGTCTGTGCCAGGCACTGTGTTCAGGGTGGTGGGTACGAAGAGAAACAACATCTGTCCCTGACCAGAAGAGCTTGCTGTTCAAGTAAGAGGTGCCCGTGTCTCCTTCTCTTGGGTCAGAAGCTTTCTTTTAGCCTCCAAAACCCACAGATGCATGACTCTAGAAGAAACCCATGCCGTCACACTGTCCGACCCTCTTTCCCACCTTTATGGCACAGATAGGAAACCTCTGCCCAGCTGTGTTAGGTTAATTAACCTGGTTAATTAACAAAGTGAAATCCCTTCTGTCCCTACATTTGTTAGGTCTTCAGTTACCTGAGCTAGACCTCTCAGGCACTTTCCAAGTTGGAGCCTCTTCCTAAATGTGACTAAAAAAAAAATTCTATTTATTCAATCAATATTTATTGAGCTAAGTAGCAGGTACTGAGAATACCTCAATAAACAAGGCATTGAATAAGGTCCCTGCCCACATGGAACTTATAGGTTATGTGCGTAGGCATTCACTCATTTATTCATTCAATAGCTATTTATTAGGCACTCCCTAGGTGCCAAGTTGTGGAGCTTACATCCAAAGAAACAGACGAGATAATTACACACTGAGATTATCATAATGAAGGATATGTGAGAGAGGGTGACTTGGGCAGGGGTCTGCTTCAACTAGCATTATTGGGGAAAGTCTATCCAAGAACAGGAGACTTGGCAGATGAGAAGGACTCGGCCCAGGACGAGCTGGGAGAAGAGCATTCTCGGTGGAGAGTGAATGAATGAAGTCCTGGATGTGGGGGAGGATTTGGTTTGTTCTAGAGAAGGAAGGAGAACCATGTGGTCAGAGCGCAGTGTAGGGAGGGAGAGGGATTGAGCGGGGTTGTGAAGAGGGAGCCAGTCCAGCGTGGCCATGAAAAGGAGCCTGCATTTCACTCTAGGGCCAGGGAGAAGAGGGCAGTGATTTGGACTTCTTTACAACAGGTGACTGTGGCTCCTCTGCAGAGAATGGCCTGTAGCAGAGAGCTAAAGGAAGCCCAGAGGCCCATTAGAGGGCGTCTTCAGTAGTGTCTGGGTGAGAGATGATGGTGGCTTGGGCGAAGGTGGCAGGAGAGACAGAGAGAAGTAGAAAGATTACAAATCTATTTTGGAGATCGAGCTGACTGGACTGGTGAGGGGCTGAATGTGGGGTGCGAGGGGAAGGCAGGAATCAAGGATGACTTCTGGGTCATTGCTTAACCCCTGGGGAGATGGCAGGAAACAAATAATATACAATCAACTTCTTACAATAGTGATAATTGAGGTGAAAGAGAAAATCGGGGTCTTCGGCTGCTGGGCCTAACCTAATCTGTGGGCTCAGATGTACCATGTTGTCGGGTCTTGGATATGGTCACAAGGACACGATGAGCGCTACAGTCCCTCTTAAACTCAGCTTTTTTTTTAGCCACTATCATATTTCCACTCACTCAGGAGAGCATGAAAGTATGTTTTTGGGGAGACTGGAAATGTGGCCCAAAACATGTTTATATGAACGATTACTAAAAGGAAAACAGGAACTTTTCAACAAGGAAATTTACCAAGTTTACGACATTTATTGATTTAGAAAAACTTGTGTTAAGGGATATTTTTCTTGATTTTATTAGTCAAATATGGATATCTTATAAATTGATTCTTCTTTGGTTCCTTTCAGCATGGAAAAACAACCCCCTTTAAGAATGCTGTCTGAGGGCTCTTGAGAAGTCTCGCAGCACTTAGGAATGGGGCACAGAGTGGGTGGGCTCCTGAGGTCAGACCTCAGGCTGTACTGCCAATGAACCTTGCTGTGGGACCTAGAAAATATGCCCTGAAGTAAGGAAGTTAACTGGGTTCTGCCTCCTTTTAGATCTGGGTATTCGGATTCCCGTCGGACACGTGGACTACTTTGTCAATGGAGGCCAAGACCAGCCTGGCTGTCCCACGTTCATTCATGCAGGTCAGAGAGTTGGTGTTTGCCTGCCCCTAGAGACTGGAATTCACCTATAGCCTTCGTGTTGAGTCAGCCAGTGTGGGCTACATAGGGACTTCTTGACAGTGTCCTTTGCTATGTCCTGTAACGCCCTACTCAATACTTACTGAATGGGTGTCTTTGGAGCTCAGGAAATCTGGGGAGGGGTGTCTGAAATTAAAAGACTGTGCCAAACTTAACACTGCCCACCAGCTTGTCTTAGACCCTGCTGTGATCAATATCACTCAATCCAGTAACCTCTGCTCTTCCCTGGGCCCTTATTTCTGCCATATCCAAACTAGCAGCATCCTCTGCAGAGCCTAGTTGTGGTGGAAGCAATGTGACATGCCCAAAGCTAGCTGGCCAAAGGATCAATTCACTGCATGACCATTTTGCCAAATTTACTAAATTTAACAGTTTTCTAAAATTGTTTTCAAGATAATCTTCTTGAACACATTCAGTAAATATACATTTCTCCTCTTCTAAATATATTCTTCTGGAATATTCTTTTTGAATGTATTCATTGACTATATCCTTCTTAGCATTATTTTAAATAATATTAAATTTGTCAAAAGTCAAGCATCAATGATTGTTTAGTTTTCCTACATTCTTATGAATATAGTCAATACATCAGCATTTCATATGGAAATTTTAAATGCTGATTTCTGTTTACTATGTTTTTAGTCTTTTTCTGCTTTACCAAATTTTTAACATTCAAAAAATTCTTTTGACAATTTTATTGAATAGCCACTAATTTATTTTACCAAATTTACAAGTTTTCAAAAAATATTCTTCTTTTAACAATTTACACATTTTTTAGCAATTCTGATCAGATAGGATAGTTTGATTTCAGTGGCTTAGTTTTCAAAAAATATCCTTCTTTTAACAATTTATACATTTTTCAGCAATTCTGATCAGATAGGATAGTTTGATTTCAGTGGCTATTGAAAATTTTGGTGGCATTTTAGTTGACCACATTTCAAACTTTCTCCATAACACAATATGAGAAGGGTTTAGTTTGTCTCTGCCCCGTCTCCCTGTTGCAGCTGTAAGGAGCTTGGCCACCTCCGCGGAAAAGAAAAGTCAACACACAGCTCAGCCTTGGTTGCTGGTCCCAGAGAGGGGATCCCAAAGTTTTCAAAAAATATTCTTCTTTTAACAATTTACACATTTTTTAGCAATTCTGATCAGATAGGATAGTTTGATTTCAGTGGCTGTTGAAAATTTTGGTGGCATTTTAGTTCACCACATTTCAAACTTTCTCCATAACACAATATGAGAAGGGTTTAGTTTGTCTCTGCCCCGTCTCCCTGTTGCAGCTGTAGGGAGCTTGGCCATGGAGAGTGCCCTACCTCTGCGGAAAAGAAAAGTCAACACACAGCTCAGCCTTGGTTGCTGGTCCCAGAGAGGGGATCCCATGGTACACGGAGAGTCTGAAGACCCCAGAGTCCTGGAATTGTAGCTCACTATAAACCTCTTAGCCCACACCAATTCATCCAATGTGGGTTGCTGCAAACTTAAATAGTAAACAACAACAACAAAACCAAGTTTTTGGTAAATTGAGATATTTGGCAAATTCAACGTATGAGTCATCTGTCCAGCTGCGCCTTGGCACATTGGCTTTAGAGATTGACCACAAACTCCTGCTGACTCCCTTGATTGTCTTACTGCTGGGTTGGGTACAGTGGGGTTGTAAAAAATTGGTTGTGTGGGTGATGATAAACTAGGTAATAATGTGCAGACAGATGTCCATTTTGAGAAGTGGGGTCAGCATCTCTAACTCTCTGTATGCTTCCATTTTATGAAAGAGTTTGCATGATCCTATAAGAATGGATCACAAATCAAGCAATGATAGATTAAGCTTATATGTCTCAGGAAATTAGAAAGAAAAGAGAGAATGTAGTAACCATGTCTGTTAATAGTTTTAAAATGTGGCTCAGGGGACACCCCCTGTATTTATAGGCTGCGAGAATATAAAAGTCAGTGGAGTTACAATAAGTGGCATGGAGGGAGCTCCCATTTGTCTAGTCTGAAACCCTGGCTGTGGCTTTCTTCCCCTGTTCAGGATACGATTACCTGATCTGTGATCACATGAGGGCTGTGCATCTCTATATGAGTGCCCTGGAGGATTCCTGTCCACTGATGGCTTTTCCCTGTTCAAGCTACGAGGCCTTCCTCGCGGGGCACTGTCTGGATTGCTTCAACCCTTTTCTGCTTTCCTGTCCAAGGATAGGTAAAATGTCACCACTTTGGTTTCCTTTGACATTTTGGGGAAAGCTCAAGTCCTGCTAGCTGTCACCTCTTTATGTCCTGATCTGCTATGGTCAAGAAGTCTATCCAACTGGGAAGAAGAAAAATTAACCGGTGAGGTATTTGGCCTGTTCCCACCTGGAAGATGGCAGCTGGCCCTCCGTGTCCCACCCCTTGTCCTCTATACTGCTCTCTGCTGCCATACTTGTCTGCACACACCCTTCCCGCATACAGCCGGCCCCTCGCCTGGAAGTCCAGCCTTAGGACATTCTCTAGAAACATTGGCATGTCCAGAGTCCCTGCCCCCACTCTCAGACTGAATGCTTCCCATAGGTCTTTCTAGTTAGGCCAGCCATTTTCCAGCTTTTCATAGACCCTAAATCAGTGTGTTATGGAGAATCTCCAAGAGTGGCACACGAGACCCACTTCGGAGGCATGAGGTTGTGGTTCATGCACCAGCTGGAGGGATGCCTAATTGCCAGGCAGTTTGGGGACATTCCTGGCTGATCCAGGCTAGTCTGGAGAAAGAACTCCAGGAAGGCTGAGGGATCTGGCCTCTAGCTCACCCTGTATGGATCATTGCTGCAAATATACTGGGGTTATCCAGGAAGTGGAAATGGTTCCTCCCCTCCCACACTCTCCCACTTCCCACCACCCCTGCTGTCGCTTAGGACTGCAGCAGCTTGTGATTGCTTGTGTGAATGAGTTGGATACCAGCTTGACAAGTAAAATGTTAAAGTAAAAGTAGCTGCCCATAATAAAACAAGGCAACATTATTTCCAGCTTGTTGGCCATATGTCTCAGTTTGCCCCCGATGCAGTGGACCAGCTGACATAGCCACCACTTCACACTGCCCAGCCTCATCTCTCACTACACCTTCTCTTGCACTGAACACCCCAGGGATGCTGATGGAGTTTGGATGTATTGTCCTCCCAGAACTCATGTGGAAATCTGATCCCCAGTGTGGCAGTTTGAGTCACGGGAGCAGATCCCTCATGAATGGATTAATGCTCTCCCTGGGGGTGGGGGTCTAAGTGAGATCTTGCTTTATTAATTCCTGCAAGAGCTGGTTGTTTAAAAGACCCTGGCACCCTCTCTCTCTCTCTCTTGCTTCCTCTCACCATGTGATCTGCTTGTACCCGCCGGCTGCCTGCCGCTTTCTGCCATGAGTAAAAGAAGCCTGAGGCCCACACCAGATGCAGCTGTCCCAGACTCATAAGCCAAATAAACCTCAGTTCTTTATAAATTACCCAGTGTCAGGTATTTTGTTATACCCAGTGTCAGGTATTCTGTTATAGCAACACAAAACGGACTAATACAGATGCTCACCACTGGTACCTGCAAGCGGACGTCATGTGTCCTCATCCTGTGTGCCTTTGTCCTACCTGTACTCTCCCCCACT